CTTAAAATTTTGGAATTGTTAGAGAAAGTGAATATATTAAGTCGATTTTCTTAGGGTTTGCCCGTTAAGGGTTCTTCTTGAAACACTCTACGATTTTGAGTACTTTCAGATATTACAAAAGAATTAGGACAAGACCAAAATAAGCATAATGGTTACTAATCCATCCATACACTATACTAGCGACTCACCATCGTTTCGCTCGGATTTGTCCCTAGCTTGCTTAGCAATACAAACTTTTATCCCCATTTTCACCCCATTAAAGAATGATTTCCGGGATAAACAGTATCCTATGTCCTTTCCAGAGTCTTAAACTATCTTCTTAGCAAATTTTATCTAAATCGGTTCAGTAAATCCAGAGATTACAAACGTCACAAACTCACAAACTTACCTCTTAAACTATCTTCTTAGCAAATTTTATCTAAATCGGTTCAGTAAATCCAGAGATTACAAACGTCACAAACTCACAAACTTACCTCTTTATAATATTAGTATAGATATATAAAATAGAATTTGTCTGTATAGCTGTTGTTCTTGAACAATATCTTCAATTTTAATTAAGTTGTAAGATGAAAATATTTGTATCGGAATCGATAGAGCTGTAACAGTTTTTGGAGAGGCCGTAATTTACCGGAGTTTTGCAGCCGAAATGGTATACATCCGAGATTTCTTCAGTGGCCATTTAACATTTTGAACCACTTTTAAATATATACTACATACGCAGTATGCACATATTTTTTTTTTAATTTAACTTTAATTTAATCATTTATTTCAGGCAATATTTACAAAAAGATCTTAAATATGTAAACAGAGGTCCATATTATATATACCTTAAAAACTAACATATATATCTTAATATATATATTTCTTGTGTGCGTGTGTATGTGACTGAACTCCTCCTAAACGACTGGACCAATTTTGATGAAATTTTTTGTGTGTGTTCAAGGGGATCTGGGAATGGTTTAGATTCACAATTTGAATAATAATTTTCATCAAAAAAATTATTAAAAAAAGTTTGAAATTTTCAAATTAAAGACGTGTAGACAGGACAACGTCTGTCGGGTCCGCTAGTTAATTTTAAAACTTAAAATACTATTTAATACGTAATGTAATATACTTGTATATGAATAAAATATATACGGATTCAATACGTACCTAGTTTCCTAGTACGTAAGTTGGAGTATGTCGCAAGTTCCCGGGGGAGAAGCCAACTCCTACCGGGCGCGTCCCCAGGTGGCGGATAGGGGCATGCCACCCGCTTAGAGGGGCGGGTGGTACCGGAGAAATCCGGCGCGGACCAAATGGCTTGGATGGGGCCGCTCGTCTAGGCCTCGAGCCGAAGACGTTGCGGCCACCGGTGGTGGGACCGCTTGGTCCCACAACCGGATGATGGGTGCCGGTTGCGGGACTGTGGTCGCAGGCCCGCATTCGGCGGAGGGGTAGGCCGCGGCGGGAGAGGAGTGCCGGTATTTCGGTGCGCCGTTCTCCCTACCTTCCGCGGCCTAGACGGGGCCGCCACCGTTTGATGGCGGACGCGGTGGGGCTGCAGGGGAAGAGGAGTGTCGGTGTTTCGTTGCCGCTCTCCCTGTCCTCTGCAGCCGATTGGAGGTGGCCCACTTCGGTGGGCGGTGTTATGGTTTTGTGGGGCTGCTCCGGGTACCTCTCTGACGTAGCAGAGTTGACTGTGGAGCAGCCCCATTGGTTTGGTGGTCTGCCTAGTATTTAGGCAGACCTGCCGCCGGGGCGCCGTAGTAGTTATGCGTAAGCGATCCTGCGGCGTCCCACTAAGGCGGGGGGAAGCGATGTCGGGTTTTAGTGGGTAGTACCGGCTCTTCTAGCCGGTGAGCCCCACATCTACACCTGGGGGATCAGGTGGTATGCGTAAATGCATTTCCCGACGATAAAAAAAAAAATGTCGCAAGTAACCAAATTATTTAACTACGAAGTTATGAACACTTTTTGTATAGCTATCTCTACCTTATTAGGTATATATGAAAAATATAATATTTTAGTCCATTTCAAACTTTTCACCCAATTTGATGTAATACGTGTTAAAGTTTTAATTAGGTATCTAACTTTTATATCGTGTATATGAGGTACAATATTGCCGATACCGACTTATTACGAGCTTATTAAAAGTTCTTACGCCTAAGGAAATTCGAATTAATATTATAAATGTGAAAGTTTCTGAGTATAGATGTTTGTTACTCTTTTACGCCAGAACGGCTGAACGGATCTAGATGAAATTTGGGACAGAGATAGATTATAGTCTGGAATAACACAAAGGCTACTTTTTATCTCGGAAAAATGTACTGTTCCCGTGGGATAGATTCGTTTTTGTTTTTCTAGTTTTACTAATATTATTTAAATGAGCGAGCGAATATCTCTCATTTTGCTTATACGTTTCTCTACAAAACTTTGAGCGAATGTCACGATTTATTTACATTTTTCATTATCTTCTAAACTACATAACCGAATGATACTTTAAAGGTCAAGTTTCTACTTATCTAATAAAAACTTGTGATAATAAAAAGTTTTGTTTTTAAAAACATTAATTATAATTTATGTTTAAAATACGCATTCAAACATTACTTACAATTAGCCAAAAATAATATTTTAAATATAAAAATATAGTAATATATACTACTAGACAGACAGACAGACAAAAATTCTAAAAACTATAGATTCGGCCGCTGTATCGATGATGATGTATAGAAAATGCCGCCCTTGGCGGGTAAAAATAGAAATAATTGCCTATTTACGCATAATTAAAATCTCAAACAGACGAGACCACAGTAAATTATTAAAGCAGGTCTTATTAGCCAAAACTTTTTAAATTTTATTAAATTTGGAGTTTATTCAAAGCTTGATCGTAAAATTTGCAATTTCTACTTCAATATATTGGTACTCTATAAGGATAATTTTACGATATCGTAAAACAAAGTTTACTGCTTGACGTGAATCTATAGAGGTTTTACTGCCAATAAAGACACTATACTTCAAGGGTCGGACATTTGTTGACGTTTCAAAAGATTTTGACAATTTTGTCATTAAAAAACTAACATTGTAATTTTACGCGATTTCTTGCTGTTATATGATGTAATAATCAGTAAATTATTATTATTTTACGATAATTCTTACATTATATTATTATAATTATTGGGAAACTGTGTATCAACGGACGCAGTTTGTAACGGAGAGTAGCAAAAAGTACGTACTTTTGAAGTAAAGGTAGTAGATGTACCACTTGTCAAGATTATTTTAGGTTTTATTTTCTGCCTTACAAAATATTAGTGATAATATCTGTATTTTTTTAAATTGTTTAAATTTCAATAGTTCAATATAATATTTTTTTGGCATAACCAGAAAGTAAAAAAAACCTCTTAAGCTATACTGTTAGCTCTACTGGACTCTAAACAATGATTCTTTGCTATAACATAATCAAAATAATAATAAAAAAAATACATTTGTATATTCAATACAAAATGTTGCCTGTTACAATAATTATCCCAGCGACAATCTCATTAATTATTCATATTCATTATATTATAATTAACATAAATCTCTAATGAACTGAATGTAAATTGATCCAATAGTTGTAATACTGTTTTTACTGATTTAATACATTAATTAACCACTCGTGCAGAAAGAACATTATGTTATGTTAGTAATTGTTTTAGCTTTAGAAGGCATTGTTTAGTCTGTTTGTCAACCGTTTTTTTAGTAGCTATTGAAGAGCTTAAGTATTGTCAATAAAAAAAATAGAAATAGGTAGTTTTTTAAATATAATACTGGCGACTTACCCTCCACACCACCACCACTTCGCTCGGGTGCGTGCGTGCTCTAGGTACGTTTAATTTTTTTTGAGCGGAACCCTAATTCTCTTTCTGAAATAAAAGTAGCCTAACTCCTTATAACATCAGCTATCTGCCAATGAAAGTCACATCAAAATCATTCCATCCATTTCAGAGATTAGCCGGAAAAACAGACAGACAGACAAAAGTTTTAAAAACTGTGTTTTTCTTCTTAGTAGTATATAATTTCATATGAATTTAGTAATAAACTGTTATTTTGATATTACAAACAGATACTTCAATTTTATTAATCTGTATAGATTATTCATATAGATATAGATATATGTTATCTTCAAATTTCCAATAATGGTTACGGTCGATTTTCGAACACTTGGCTAACATTTGTAATTATAAAAAGGAACATCGGCTACAAAACCACTTAAAAGTAATAATTCCCTTAAGCCTCGGAGTTGGATTTGTTTTCATTTTTATTTCAGCACTTTTGAAGAATCGCGTTTTAATTAGAAAAAAATATGAATATCTTTTGGCAAAAATATATCAAAGTTAATAAATAAATCTTAACTCGACTTACACAAAATCGCTATACTTAAATTAAATTAAGTAATTAAGAAGTTTAGAATTAGTGAAAATGTAATGTTTTAACTTTGAAGCGGAAAGCACAAAAATTTTGATGTAAAGCGCCAATGGAGATATCAGAAAGCATCTGCAATCTACATGCGCTTATAGAATCGATTTGCGAATGTTTGACGGCTTGTCTTTAAAAAAGTCATCTTAGGTATTCACTATTAGTAATATGAGATGCTAATATACTTATTTCTTTCAAATCAAACAAAAAAACTAAGTTAAAAGAGTACTTAAAATCATATAGTTAAACAAAATGTATTAATTTTTGAGATTGCTATAGTTATTATACTTTTTTAACCATACAAGGCAAAGGAAAACTTTCGGACATCCTTAAGCGGGACTCCGCATTAGAAAGTTGGAATTCTATATTCGTTTTTGCAAAAAAAGAAAAAAAAGAAAGCCAAAACAATTTCTTTAATTTCAATTAAATAATAGTGTGGGAATAAATACAATAGATCATTTCCATTCTATCGGTAAAAAGTAAAATTAAAGATCTACATCGTCCAATACATGTTTTTTATCTTTAATAAATGCTTAATAGTATATGTTTTCTATCTGTTACAGAGAATGCGGAAACCCCGCCGACATCGGTGGTTAACGGTGTCGGTGTTCTTTATAGCGTACTCAGTCTTCCAAGCGGTGCTGAGCAACGCGTCGGAGCCAGTCGAAGACAAAGTGGACGTGTCGCCGGTGCCTGAAATCAAGACAACGAACTTTGAAATATCTAAAGGTATTTTATACGACTTATCGGAAAGTTATATGCGAAGTTTGTATGTAGGTATGTTTGTTATTCCTTTATACTATAACGGCTGAATGGATTTAGATTAAATTTAGCACACAGATAGATTATGACCTGGAGTAGCACATAGTTTACTTTAAGAAGACAACTCCGCGTTCATACCATGTATATATTTTAATGTATAAATAAAATCTTTTTCTTTTACCCAAATATGATGCATATTTATATACTATTCTTTATTGCACTTTAAAAAAAAATCAATACAGTAATTTAAAATCAGTTGTTATTTACAAAGGTGGACTTATCTCTAGAAGAGATCTCTTCCAGCCAACCTGTGGTAGTGAGAAATAGTGTTACAAAGCGGGCTAAATTCGTGCAGTCGTAGTTATATAAATAATATATAGATACTCAAAAATATATAGCTAATTAAATAATATATATAATAACATATAATATACACTACTTACTTATACCATACATACTTATGTACATATATACATACACACTACTACTTACATAAATACATATCTATATAATACAATACATAATAATAGTAATTAAGATAATTTTTGATTTAATTGAGTGAGAAGGTGCTGTTTTAATTTTTTTTTGAAAGAATCAATAGAGGGACTAAGTTGGATTTCTTTAGGAAGTTTGTTCCAGAGCAATGCGCCATACACCGAAAAAGAATGCAAGAGGAACTTTGTGTTGCTCTTGGGTATATCGAGCGTCGCAGTGATGCAAGGCCGCCTGGAACGTGAAGGAGTAGGGAGTATTTGGAAACGAGAACGGAGGTATGAAGGAGAATTAGGGTCATTAAGAATATTGAAAAGGAACGAAAGGATGTGCATATCACGGCGAAGGCGGATTGGGAGCCATTTAAGTTGAGCACGAAAGTTTGATATATGGTCATGCTTACGCAAGCCAAAAATAAAGCGTATAGCGAGATTTTGGAGACGCTCTAATTTGTTGAGTTGCTCCTCAGTCACATCTAAATAACACACATCGGCGTAGTCAAGTATGGGGAGAAGGAGTGATTGAGCTAGCATAATCTTGGTTGTAAAAGGGAGAAAAAATTGGAGACGTTTGAGAGAGTGGAAAGTGTGATGCATTCGTTTGCTGACCTCGTTGACATGAGCTACCCAGGTCATGTTACAATCCATTATTAGGCCCAAGTTTTTCACTTTATTACAATAAGGGATTGGAACGCCAGAGAACTGGACTTGAGGTATTGAGTTCCAGTCGATTTTGCACCTCAGTCTGCTGCTGCCAAAAATTATACATTGCGATTTGGTGGGATTCACAAGAAGGCCGAAAGACTCAGCCCACGACTGAACTTCAACAAGGTCCGAGTTCAATGCACCAATAGCCTCATGCAACTCGGTCAGCTCAAAGTGTCGGTATAACTGTAAGTCATCTGCATACAGATGGAAGGGAGAAGAAATGATTTTTGATATGTTATTAATAAAGATAGAAAAGAGTAAAGGGGAAAGTACGCCGCCTTGAGGTACACCAGCAGTAAGATCTAACCAATCCGATGATGTATCGTTAGTTTTCACGCACTGCTGACGTCCGAATAGGTAAGAGTGAAACCAGTCTATAACAGTAGGAGAAATGTTGACCGCGCGGAGAGTTCCAATAAGAATGTCAAGGTCAACTGAGTTGAAAGCACTGCTAAAATCTAGCAGCACCATCGCGGTGAGCTTGGTGTTATCCATTGCGTGACGAATATCCTCTGTAATATTCAGCAGTGCCCCAACCGTGCTGTGGGAAGAGCGGAAGCCGGACTGAAAAGGGCATAAGAGGTTATTGAGTGACAGATAGGAGTAAAGTTGGTTGTGAGCCAAGGATTCTATGACTTTGGATAGGATAGGAAGGATCGATATAGGACGGTATTGAGTGAGGCACGTAGGATTCGAGGACTTAGGTAGTGGTATAACGAAGGCTTTCTTCCATAATGACGGGAAGACATTACTTGTGAATGAAAAGTTAATAATGTGAGTAATCACAGGTGCAATATCCTCCAGTACCGGAAGCACCATGTCAAGGCTGAGGTCGTCACTACCGATGGCTTTTGTAGAAATAGAGCGGACACACTTCTTTATATCATCTACTGAGACTGTTTCAAAGACGAATGGTGGTATGTCAGGGGGAGCAAGGTTCGATAAGAATGAAAGTGTTTCAGTTTTTGTATGCGAATCTAAAGTGATGGGGGGAGTGGTAAAATGATAGTTTAGAGTATTGAGATCCACAGAACTTTGACAAGTTTCTGGGGCCTTGCCCACACCCAGTGACAATAGGAATCTCCAAACTTGCGCTTGACAAAGATCCTGAATCGTTGTGTGAATATAGCGGCGTTTGGCATCCCTACACATTCTGTTGCAGATGTTACGTAATTTTTTATATGCATCAAGATTTTCGGCAGATGGGTGCCTTTTGTACCTGGATTTAGCCTTATCACGTTTGCCCATAGTTCTTTTGATCACTGGTGATAGCCATGGAGCGGGTGCATGTTTCATCCGCACCGGCCTGATCGGAGCATGCTTGTCGTATAATTTAATCAGCTCAGCAGTTAAAGAGGCAACCATGCTATCAATGTTATTTACTGACATTATTGTTGACCAGTCAATGTTTTTAACATCCTCTCTCAAACGTTCTAGATCCATATGCTTAAAATTGCGCTGAAGTATAACCTTGCCTCTAACCTTTGGAGGACGCACTTTGTAAGCAAGGTAAATTAGGTCATGATGTGAGAAGGGTGCAGTCATTTGACCATGCGAAACAGTGAGAGTAGGTTGAGAGACAGAGATTATATCTATGAGAGATGGCCGGCTATTGGGAAAGTAATGAGTGGGAGAATTCAGGGGAAGAATATGCAAATTAACTGAAGTCGTCAGATCATTTAAAGCTTGTGCCCTGGCGTCATTTTTTAATAAGCACGTATTTAGATCGCCCATGTAAATTATATGATCGTAATTAGGAACAAAGCTCTCAAGGATATCTGCTAATTCCTTAAAATAATTAATTTTGTCGTTAGGACAGTACAAAACCCCAAGTAGAACTTTTTTATGATGAATTACCAGTTCCAGAAAAAGATATTCAAGGGTACCTGTTGAGAGTGAAACAGAGTGGGAAACAACACAAGCAGGAATGCTGCTGCGAAGGTAAATACCCACGCCGCCACCACCCTGACCAGTGCGATCATTACGGAAGAACCGATATCCTGGAATAGAGCAGCTAGTCGACGGGAGTGAAGGTTTAAGCCAGGTTTCAGACACCAGTATACAATCGACTACGCCGCTACTGAAAGATGTGAGAAGATCTGAATAGTGAGCAGGAATGCTCTGCGCGTTAATATGCACTAAGGTAAGGAAATTAGAATTTTTAGGGAAAACCTTTAAAAGTTTGTCTTCAAGTGTTTCTTGATCCGAAAGAGAAGAGTTTAAGCTACTTTCAGCACTTCCAAAGTCTTCCGAAGAAGAACAAGAAAAATATTCATCCTTATACATAATACTATTATTACTTAAAATATTTATATAATATAAATAGATAGATTACATTCAAATATAAATAAAAGTAAACAAATATATAATTAAGAATACTTGCAGTTAAAAAAAAAAAAAAAATAAATAAAAAAAATACCGAAGAATAACACTCACTATACTCATGCACAAGTTAACTGTAAAAGACATAATTATAGAACTATTAAGAAAAAAATAATAATTAAAGAATAATTAAAGATGAACAACAAGTGAATAAACAGACAGAGTGAAATGAAAAATTAGAAAACAGAATAAGCACAATACACGTTAGTCGTTGACATAAAATAATCATTTTGTATCTGTGCGCATATCGTTAATGACAGTTGGCATTTGACAATAATTGCATAGAGAAATCAGAAAAGTGACTGACAGTTGACATTGTACTATAGGTTTTTAATAATAGGAAAAAAAGGTTTTAAAGTTTAAACTATGAAATCTAACGAAAATTATAATATTAAAGTGGAAAACTACCCTACATACATTTAAATGATTATTTGACACTATACAATATAAGCCGACCATATCAAAATGTATAAACAGAAATAAATTTGTTAGTTTTTGTCGGTTTTACTATGTTGTATCATTAAGTTTTTGAGTTCAGATAAAGAAGTAACCTTTACTCGGGACTTATCAGGGAGAAGAATGACTATAATACCGTCTGAAGACCAACATTTCTTCATCCCAAAGTGACTACGAGCAGCAACAAATATATCTTGCCGGGTCTTCGTTAAAAATTCCGTCACAGTTGTTTTAGTGCCTTTCAGCATAGTTTTAGCCTTCCATGCAATGGAGCGTGTTTGCATGTTCGTGAACCGCACTAGAATGGGCCTGGCAGATTCCCTCTTCACACCTAACCTGTGACAGGATTCAATTGTGTCAGGCTTTAAGTCTGACAGCTTCATTTGGCTGGTTAATACTTTCATGATCTTCTTCGAAGCATCTTCATCCTTATCTTCCTTGATACCATGAAAGAGAAGAATCTTTCTTCTTGATTGAGTCTCCAAGCGATCCAGACTATTTACAACAAGCTCGACTTGAGACTTGAGTAAACCAAGCGACTTCCATATAAAAGTCTTGAAAGTATAAAATTCTGCAGCCAAGGCTTTTACAGTTGGATTAGGAGCAATGGAACCAGGTTGTTGGAGGTTTTTCTCAAACTCAACCATTCTCATATTAAACATAGAAGATAGTTCATCCATGCTCTTCACAAGCTGTTCAACTGGAGAGTCCATAATTCAGTGAGGAAAGTTTGTGTGAAAGTGAGTTTACAGTCAACTTAAGCACTGGTAATGTAAACTTTAATACATATGTACTATAAATATTTTAAAATATTAAATACTGTGGAGCTACTAAAATCGCGTCTGTACTCTTTTGTGTCTACCCGCCGAAAAAAAAAAAAAAAAAAAAAAAAAAAAAAAAAAAAAAAAAAAAAATTATAATATAAGTTGTTGATATTGTTGAAGCACTCGCATGACATATAAAAAGTTTATATTCAATTGTGAAAGCGGAACGACTGTCACCTAAAATACAAACTCTGGCTTAGTTTAGGAGATAGTAGTTTAACTTATTTTTTGACACTTTTTGTACAACTTGCTTTACTTACTTTAACCCCTTATATTGTCACTTTTTATAGTACGATAAATAAATTATTATTATTATTATTATACCATACTTTACAAAGCTCAAACAACTTACTTTTAAGTGACCCCCCCCCCCCTTCACCCTCGTCTTCAGAGTCGGTATTAAGTCGGTCAAAAATAATGTACTGAACCATCACTAGGGGATAACGGTTACAAAAGTACCATGTTATCCTAATAATAGAACTACCATGTGGTATACTTGTATGTGGAAAGCATCCAAATATTAAAAGAGAATCGTTTCTGCAAAGTCCAGCTTCAAGCCTCCAAAAGGCAGAAACAAAGCACTTGCTACATCTCTATTATAATATAGAGACATTTACATTTTTTGAAAGAAATTTTAGCCTTTTATACTCATATTATACTAAGGCAATATTTTTGATTATATACTCGTGATAAAAAATGTAGTAATTCTTTAAAATATACGATTTATTGAACTAATGCCTTATTTCTGTCAGCATCTGAAGCTACTCCTGGTGTGACTAGTAAAGAGGAAAAGGGGAATGGAAAGAAAGCCATGAAAGGTTTAGAAGACGAGCCTGATGAAGGAAACAAGAAGAAACAGAAAGACGCAGGTTACGAAGAGGTAATTCTTAAATAAGATTTATATTATTATTGAATTAATAATTGAAAAAAAAATCTTTTCCAATAACGATCAATAGGAACGGTATCACTTCCGTGACCATTTTCGCTTTAAAGCATGCGAAACTTCAGGAGCTGAAATTAAAATAAATCCGTAGAAAAATTCGAAAAGATAATTTAATTTCAAATATCAAATATTCACGTTAATCTAAAAAAAGATTATAATTTAACAAAACTATTACTATAAAAACATTGATCACATAATTTTTACAAACCTAATTTTAAAGCAAAAACATATAAATAAGTACTATATTAATCCTCACAAATTTTAACCCAATATCCATTCGATTTCGTCACAAATATTTCAAAACGAAATAATATGTGGTCTAAATAAATAATTTAACTATACTTGTATGATTGAAATCCTACCACTATTAAAATGTAAAAGTTTATCTGTTAGTACATTTGTTACTCCTTTACTCTAAAACGAACGGATTTGGACGAGATTTAGTGCATAGATGACCTGGAGTAGTACAAAAGCTTTTCATTGTTAGTAATAATATTTTCCAAAATATGGTGCAATCTGTACATAATCTAGTATAATAAGTCCAAAATATACCATCGTATAGTAATATTATAAAATCATAATCTATCAGTATATTTAATAAAACATTGTTTTCAAGGATAAAACTATCGAAGAAGTTCGAGAAGAGGAGAAGATAGAGGAAGAAGCTGACGCCATACCCACCGTCCATCCGCTCCGGAACTGCACTCCACCGGCCATTGAGCAGGTAATTAAAAACATTTATTAATCACATTTAATAATCGTATAAAATTATTTACAAAATAAAATATAACATAAATAATGGCCACGGCGGCCAGTCTCACTGAAACTATCTGCAGGATATATTATAGTACACAAGAGTACGCACAGACACAAGTGCACTCTCTATTCTTTTCACCCTTAAATTCCATTAGGACGTTGATTCCAAACGACCGGAGAGCGATCAGACGCAGGACCGACAGCTTTACTCGCTCTCCGAGGCACGGTGATAAAACTGGGACTTTTTTAACAGAAAGACTCAATAACTAAGCTTGGCCTTGAGACTCGAACCCACGACCTTTGAATGTGCAGTCGTACATGCTAGCCACTATACCCCCGAGGCAGGCATAAAATTATAAAGTACAGATGTTTTACTTTATATTCACTCAGAAGGATTTGCTAATTACCTAAATAACTTCTATCAGATTTCTGAAAAATAAGCTCTTTGAGAACTTAGCAACCATTTTAAGTACGTAGTATTTAGTAGAGGCATTGAATTCGGCACAAATGTATTCTATTTAAAACTCTATCTCTACTTAAATGAGAGCTCTTTGAATATTTATAATACGAGTATAACCAGAATACTATTTTGGAATAATATTTTTTACATTGATACTATAATTAATGAATTTTATTTGTAAAAATACAAATCTTAAATAATTTTTATTAGACTGAACCTACCTAGCAAAAATATTGACTTAGTCAATCTGCCTAAGATAAACTTTGCCTAGCGTATGTACCATTAAATGTTAAAATATTTGTAAACTATTTGAGCCCATAAAGTTATATTATATACATGTTTGTTGTACGTAAGAAGACGTAATGTCTGACGTAATGACATATCAGTACCGAAAGAGACGCCAGTCTGGCGCCTATCCAGACATGATACTGAAGAATACATTTTTACTACATTTTTAACAAATAAATAAATACACACAGTCGAATTGAGAACCTGCTCTAGTTTTTGAAGTTGGTTAAAATATTTTAAAAATCTTTTAAAAAATATCTGAAATACCTAGAATTATATTACTGAGCACAAACGTCTAAGAGGTATGAAATAAATGATTTAAAAATGAAAATTAAATAGTATATATATAATAAAATAAAAACAATAAAATTTTATTAAAATACATACTATATAGAAATACAATAGAAGATTATCGACGATTGGCGAAGAAAAAAATTGAAAGACTGGCTAACTTCAGGTTAATATTTGGAAATGTAATTTATTGTAATGTAAACCTTGCTGGAGAGTTATTCGACCGGAACAAGTCAGTCAGTCAGAGGTGGATCGGTTATAAAGAGTCAAGACTCTTGCTGGTAATGTGGATGCACTCGTTGTTTCTTGTATGAAAACTTCAAAAAACCGACTTCCAGGCACTAAAAAGTTAAAAATTACTAAACGGGGGTTTTCATTTAGAATAGATATTTTCGTAGTCGGTGTGCATTGATTTGCATCGGCTGGCCCTTTGAGATAAAAAAATAATTTTCCAAATCGGTTCAGGCGTCTTCGAGTAATCGGTGAACATACATAAAATAAAGATTCCGACGAATGGAAAACCTCCTCCTTTTTTGAAGTCGGCTGAAAATACTTTATCAGACCGATATCGAACCGAGATGGAGGTGGATCGGTTATAAAGCATCAATATGACGCTGCTTCAGTCAAAGATTAAACGTGAAGGTACATAAGTAGACGAATATGGGTCATGAAGTACGTTAAAAAGGATCGATGGTTTAAGTTGACGACGATAATGAGAGATGTGATCATTCTTCCGCAAGTCGAAAATGAAGCGTACAATGAGGTTTTAAATATCTTCTAATTTGTTAAGTAGGTTATATTTAAGTAGCATATATCACTATACTCGAGGATAGGCAATAGTATAGGTTTTGCAAGCATAATTTTGGTTTTAAAAAAAAAAAGAATTTAAATTTAGCTACTAATGCTTTAAATATTATGTTTAAAGATTTTAAAAATAATTTTTATTAAAATATATTGCTGTCGATACTATATCTTCATGGAATTGACAAACTTGTCAAAGTCGTCGTAGTATCGGCTACGATAGGATGAGGCTGCCGTCGTAGTCGATTTCTCTCTAAAATTGGCCAGATTAAAAACATTTTTTTTTAAATTTATCACTTGGCTCTTTTTGGCCGATTTCAGAAAACGCGGATTAATTATGTGTTCAATTTTTTGTATTTTACTTGTAATTATGCCGATTAGTGGATTTAAAATTTTAGATTCTCAAGTTAAGAATAATAATATTTAAAGTAATTATGAAGTTCTTTATCAACCTTTCAAAAAATCAACCATTTAAGTTAAAAAGTATATATTTATTTGTGAAACAAGGTAGAGTATATTATGACAGCAAAAATGGACAGATTTTTGGGTTTTCTAAGATTTCTCAGGTAATTCTAAAGTTTCTCAGGTAAATCTAGGTAATTCAAGAAAAGTTAAAATTAATACATTGTTATTTTATTTTTAATTTATAAATTTCTCTATTTTTAAAATATCTATTTAGAATTATAATTATTGTGAGTGCCTATTCTCATAATGTATGGAAGCTGATATAGCATAAAGCTAGCTTATATACCTAAAGGGCCCATATCAAACAGAACGTATTATGCGCCATATTAATTTTAATGGGTTATGTTATTCCCTTTGACGGTTTTTCGACGTCGACGTAGCTGACCACACCATCCATTCCATACATAATATAATACATACCGTATCTGCCTTTGCTCTCTTTGCAAATTAAAAATTTGAAAGAGGACTTTGATAAAAAAATTTGTCATAATATTTCTTATAGCTTAATTTTTTTATTATTCTCGCGTATTTTATAAGTTTGATGAAAATATTCAGCTTGGTTTACTTAATATTACATGAGGATAAAGGATTCATTGTACATACCATATAAACCTAAATTATTTTCCTTATTTTATATTATATTATATAATTTTTATAGCGAAAAAATTGAAAACTCGCTATCGCTTTCAATACAATTTAATAAACACGTGTTAGCATTTTTAGGGTATTTTTATTATTAAGGACATGTAAGTTTGTATAAAACCTACCTTTTTAGAGATTTTTACAGTTTTAGCGCGAGCGAAGCCGCAGGTTCTGCTAGTATTATATATATTTCACTTAATCACAACATTTAGATTTAGAATTAAACAGCAGTATTTATCAAATCAGATATAAACTATATTATATACGTATGTACGTATATGTAAGTATATATATATAGGTATATATGTTTGTATGTATAAATATATTTATTTTTGTATAAAGAAATAAGTCATCCTTTATCGACATTCTGTTACTTTACTTTGTATAACATATATTTTATGGTACATAAATAAATAAATAAAATATATATAGTTAATTCCTTGTTTTAGTTCCCACGCCCACTGATGGGACAGACGGCGCGAAGGCATGGTGGTCTGATACTTCACGTTTTAGTCGCTGTTTTCACTTTCATCGGCCTAGCCATCGTGTGCGACGAATACTTCGTCTCGAGTCTTGACAGAATTTGCGAAGGTTAGTACCTACGAGGATATACAAATTAGATAGATATTAAATATATAATTTTCCTTTATTAATATTTTGCAGTCACTAATATTGTAGAGGTTATGGGTTCGATTTTCACACGATATTATTATTACATTCATTGACACGATTGAAAAATTAGCACCATCGACAGTCTGGGTGCATATTTTGATTGATAGATTCTGTAATGATGATCCAATGAAATGGCAATTTTATAAGTAAGACCTAATACTAGCAAACAAAATGAACTTTGTTTATTCCACAAGAAAAAAATACTTGGCGATGGAAATATATAATATATAAAAATGTAAAGTACTAGCAACACATTATCGCTTCGCTCGGGTTCTTCCCTAGGTTATTTCCCTTGCAAGCTTTCATCCCCATTTTCACCCTCTTGACGGATGATTTCCGGGATAAAAAGTATCTTATGTCCTTCCCAGGGTCTCAAACTATCTTCTTACCAAATTTCATTTAAATCGGTTCAGTAGATCCAGAAATTAGCCTCTACAACGTCACAAAATCACAATCGCACAAACTTTCCCTCTTTATAATATTAGTATAGATATATGTATATATGAAAGAAAAGGGCGCCACATCGATTTGAGCCTAGGGCGCCATCGAACCTAAATCCGCTACTGGATAGAATGTTATGTTGTATTCTTATATTCAGTCCTTTTTAACGTCCCGCTGCTGGGCACGGACCTCCCTTCAATACGAGGGCCATCAGGCCAAAGTCCACATGTCTTTCGAAAACTTGCTAATTTCCTCACGTTATTTTCCTTCATCGTAAGACAAGTTGTAATCATCATGTTAAAAATGATTCACACATGTTACTAGCTTTATAATATGTATCTCTTAACAGAGTTAAAGCTAGCACCCGACGTGGCTGGCGCTACTTTCATGGCAGCGGGAAGTTCTGCGCCAGAGCTCGCTACGGTCGTGATTGGCGTGTTTTGTGCAAAGGATGATATCGGTATGAAATATTATTTTATCTTGTTCGTAAAATAAATAAGTATATAAGTTATGATAGAATGATATTTAATGACAATGGCAACGCGCTAATTTTAAAATACAATCCGCATGGTACACCACCCACCAAAGTGGGCCTCCTCCCAGTGCGTTTCTTGGCTTCGCGCCCGGCTATATTGCCGGAAGCTAATGAGACGTCCCCCCTCCTCCCCTCCCACCACCTCTACGGAAAGGTAAACGCACGTTGGGGGATCAGGTTCATACCACTGAAGTCAACAAAGTTTCTATGTGTACATTTTAACATGGAGTGAATTTTAATACTAAATTTAACTTAAACTTAACGTAATTAAATTCAAAATTATTTAAAAAAAATAATTAAGTATCCAAAAAAAAGAATTGCCATCAAGATCCAATAACATTTATTTTTTGACTAAAAAGGCTTTTCTTTTCAGGTGTCTCTGGCGTGATCGGTTCCGCAGTCTTCAACATAATGTTTGTGATATCTGTTTGCGCTCTCTGCGCGGGAACTGTCTCTCATCTGAACTGGTGGCCGCTTTGCCGCGATTGCTTTTTCTATGCCATCTCCATTTTGGTCATGGTCTGCACGATTGCCAATGGATATGTGTCTTGGTAAGTTGGTATTACAGTTGAAAACCATCCCATTTATACAAATAATAGTGAAAAACTTAAAAAAAATAAATAAAAACCGACATCCACGCACTAAAATGTAAAAAATAACTAAACGGAGGTTTTCATTTAGAATAGAAATTTTCGAAGAACATAAAGCTTGCATGTGATGTATAAATGAAGAAATTAACAACAAATAATCAGACCGTCATCTATACATATAATAAAACAGTAACTTAGCGAAATCTGTTCATGACTTTTTTTAAAGCAATGACTGTAAAGTATCGTGTACAAAGTATACTCGCATATATAATATATCACCAAAGATTGCTTACATCTTTCTTGCAGGCCTGAAGCGTTGTTTATGTTGTTCATGTATGGCGTGTATTGCGTAGCGCTACGCTTCAACAACGCTTTGGAGAGATGGGCCTTAACTCTCCCTCTGCCATTCAAGCTGCCTTCGAGAGAGGAACAGGCGGCACTCGTTACATACAAGTAAGTTATAATTTCTTAGATTTACGCGAATATTTGACATTTAAAAAAATACAAGATTAAATCTAGAGAACTAGTAGTAGTTCTTAATATGATTACCAGAAGTATAACTCGAGCAGGATAGAGTAAGATTATAAAAATCTTCGGCACTCTTAATTTGGATTCTTCCTCTTAAAAAGTAAACTCTTTGTTACTTTATATCAATATTTTGCAAGGTCATAGTACTTCTACGGTCATAGTACATCTACGGTCAAGTCGGCCATTGAATCCTACTGTATATCTTAAGTTTTTTTATTCGCACTTTTACCTATTTATATATCTTATCTATTTTATCTATAAATAATATGGGAATTAAAATCTCATCATCGTCATCTCCCCACACTATCCACCTTGCAAAAGAGATAGCGTGTAAATTAAAACAATAACCGAAGTACATAACAAGTACAATATAGTGAATATAAAATACGACAAGGCTTTATCTTCATGTCACTAAGTTTTAGAGCAGGTAACATAAAGAAAAATATACACATACACAGACGCTGACGTACATGCACGCACACGTACACACACGCACACACACGCTTACTCACACGCACACACGCTCGAATATTCTTCACAATTGTATTAATGTAATTGTAATAAAGTATATCCATTCAACAGGAGCGCAGGAGGACAACCTCCAAGTGCTCCAGCAGCAGAGGGACAGTACACGCAGATGGACGGACAGAATGACGGCGTGCCTAAAGATCCAACTGGTAAAACTAACACTAACCATATGTATAGTGAAAAATTATTGCATTTGTAATAAAAATATGTATACCCAAATTCAAATTCCTTTGTGCGTGACCCCGACGGGGTCTTAGTTCCATTCCCGAAACAGGGATTTAAAACGGTATTTTTTTAAATGTGGTGAAAATGTATAAGATAAAAGAATAATCGTATACCTATTAGCTAAATATTGTCTTTAAACAAAACAATACGTTAATTGTAAAAGAATTAAGTCTTTCCACTTGTATTGAGCCCTTTTTAACGTCCCACTGCTGAGCACGGGCCTCCCTTCAGTACGAGGGGAATCAGGCCATAGTCCACCACGCTGGCCAAGTGCGGGTTGGCGGACTTCACATGTCTTTTGAAAACTTGCTAGGTTTTCTCAGACATGCAGGTTTCCTCACGATGTTTTCCTTCACCGTAAGGCAAGTGGTAATCATGTTAGAAATGATTCGCACATTAAAATATCAGAGGTGCGAGAGCCGGGATTTGAACCCGCTTCACTCGGTTTCCCAAGCAAGCGCGTTTCCACTGGGCTACCACTGCCTGTCTTTCCACTTATTTACAATAAAATATTGATACTCTCTTTCCTTATCCGGTCTATATAACATCTGTTTTTTTTTTGTATTATATTTAGCGTGTATCGAATTTCTGTCTCACAATAATTTGAGAGCAAAAGAAATAGAGTGTCCACTTGTATCTGTTTTAACATCTCCCGTAAAAATGATTAGTCTAAGCGACCACTACCATGAGTGGTGCAAAGCATTCGAATCTTTGGGAATGAAATATCAAAATAAAACCGCGATAAAAAACCAAATCTCTAAGCGAGATAAGGTCCTGATAGATCGGAGGATTTTATTTATTTAATTTTTAGCGTACAACCCAGACGGGGCGTACGACAACGTGGCGTACAACGCGGAGCCCACCCCCGTGTGGGATCCCAACCAGGTGTGGGATCCAGACCGCGCCTGGGATGAGACCTCGTTGGTATGTTATCTTTAATGTACTTATTTTAATATTTATAATTTATTTTAGTCATTCTTAATAAAAAGTTCTAGTATATTACTTAGTTACATGTGTATTTATAATAATAGTGTGAGTCATAAGTGTATTGGGTTTCTCATTCTTTAATATACTCGTAAGTCGTAGTCTATAACTGTAAGATATGTAGAGCTCCTTTCATTCCAGCAAACCACATAACGTATCATATTAGTGCATTCTATAAAAAAAATGTAATCTTTTATTTTATCCTCATTCATTAAATTGGATTAATTAAAATTGTAAAAATATTTTTTTGACTATAATTTCATTAAACGTTTATTATCAGTTTATCAACAGTCATAATGTTTACAGCAATTGATTATCTATACTAATACTAGCGGCTCACCCTCGCTTCGCTCGGGTTCACCTCTAGAAAAGCACAAACAGATCTATCCCACGGGAACCGTTCATTTTTCCGGGATAAAAATAAGTAACCTGTTGTTTGACCTGCAATATAAGGTATCAGCATGCCAAATTTTTCAATACAACATACATACATACATACATACATACATACAAAAGGTACCCTAAATGTTGACTCGAGTAATAAGTTATCACTTTACCAAATTTCGTTGAAATTGGTACATTACCTTTCGCGTGAACGCACACACAAAAACAGACAAACAGACACACAGGCAAACAGGCAATTTTTTTTTAACTATTGTTTTGGGGTCTATGTTGTGTACATAATACGTTACAAATATACAAAAACATCTATCCCACGGGGAAAGTAGATTTTTCCGGGATACACAGTTACCTATTTGTTATTCTGATGTATGAACTATATTATTGTAAAGTTTCATCAAAATCCAATCAGTGGTTTTTGTGTACTAAGCTGTATAAGTTACTATAGTTTTTTGACTATCCCACGGAAACTCTTTAATTTTCCGGGATGAAAAGTAGCTGATTTGTTTTTGTCTTATATGAACTATATTATTGTAAAGTTTCATTAAAATCCAATCAGTACTTTTTGTGAACTAAGCTGTATAAGTTGTTATAGTTTTTTAACTATCCCACGGGAACTCTTTAATTTTCCGGGATGAAAAGTATCTAAGATGTTGCCCGAGGATATAAGGTACCACCATGCAAAATTTCATTTAAATAGGTCCAATAGATCCGGAGATTAGCTCGTACAAAGAGAAAAACAGATAAACAGCTCGCTCGGGTTCGTCCATACATACGAATATGTTGTATTATCTCTTTAACCACTTGTCCAAATTATATGCAGTAAAAGGGAAAAGTCTTTTATTTTAAACATTTTAGACGATAAATTTACTTATTTTGATAAGAATTCATAATTGTTGATAATATGACCTATAAACATGACCTACCGATTTAAATGATTTTTTAATATAAAAAACTACTTTTTGTGACTTAAATATAAAAGTTAGACATATCCTGTCGCTGACTTTTTTGTAGGCATTATTAAGCTCTACAACTTTTCTCTAGAACATAATCATATATCTCTCATCGTTAAGGCAGCGTTCGTAAGAAACGTTTTCGTTCGACCGTTTTTTCTCCGACTTACTTTGCAAATCCGACTACCACGATAAAGCCTTTTCATTTTTCGGGTTAATATATAGCCTATGACACTATATATGGTAAAAGAATTTTGAAAATCGGTTCAGTAGATCCAGAGATTACCCCCTACAACGTCACAAACTCACAAACTCACAAACTTTACCTCTTTATAATATTATTAGTATATTAGTATTAGTATATTAGTATAGATTATAAAGAGGTAAAGGTTGTGAATTTGTGATTTTGTGATGTTGTAGAGGGTAATCTCTGGATTTCCTGAACCGATTTAGATGAAATTTGGTAAGGAGATAGTTTGAGACCCTTTTTTTTTTTTTTTTTAGAGTTGGGAAATCCTATTACGGATACCACCCGACTTCCCCCGGGGTGGTTATGTGGAGACTCTCCGGCTAATGAGACCGGCATACCCACTAAAACCCAACTTTCCCCCTCTGCCGCCATGTGGGGCGCCACGGGATCGCTCTCGCATACAACCGCGACGCCCCGACGGTTGGCCGAAGCCACCAACCATGAGGCCGCCCCAAGCGGGACAACCCCATTATGGGAAGACTTACAACCCAAAAAGTGAGGCCGCTCCTAAGTCCACTCTGCTGATCAGAGAAGTACCCGGAGCAGCCCCACACCACACAAACACCGCCTACCGAAGTGGGCCACCTCCAATCGGCTGCAGAGGACAGGGAGAGCGGCAACGAAACACCGACACTCCTCTTCCCCTGCAGCCCCACCGCGTCCGCCATCAAACGGTGGCGGCCCCGTCTAGGCCGCGGAAGGTAGGGAGAACGGCGCACCGAAATACCGGCACTCCTCTCCCGCCGCGGCCTACCCCTCCGCCGAATGCGGGCCTGCGACCACAGTCCCGCAATCGGCACCCATCATCCGGTTGTGGGACCAAGCGGTCCCACCACCGGTGGCCGCAACGTCTTCGGCTCGAGGCCTAGACGAGCGGCCCCATCCAAGCCATTTGGTCCGCGCCGGATTTCTCCGGTACCACCCGCCCCTCTAAGCGGGTGGCATGCCCCTATCCGCCACCTGGGGACGCGCCCGGTAGGAGTTGGCTTCTCCCCCGGGATAGTTTGAGACCCTGGGAAGGACATAGGATACTTTTTATCCCGGAAATCATCCTTTAAGGGTGTAAAAATGGGGATGAAAGTTTGTATTGGGAAGCAAGCTAGGGACGAACCCGAGCGAAACGAGGTTGAGTCGCTAGTATTTTTACTAATTATTTAATACGACGACTTTTCAGTTAAAACTAACTCAAAAAATATTTGCTTTAAGCTTAACTCAAAAAATATTTGCTTTAAGCTTATTAATTACACTTTATTCCTTTTCAGCAACAACCCGCTCATGCACAGCCGGCCACGCAATCGTGGGGTGACTCGATGGCTCAACAACAAGGCCAGTCGCCCACGCAGGCGCAACAGCAGCAGCAACCGCAGCAGCCACAGCCTGTCCAACAGGTACGAGACTTGTATTATATGCCCTTTTTAACGTCCCACTGCTGGGCGTGGGCTTCCCTTCAGTACGAGGGAGATCAGGATATAGTACACCACGCTGGAAAAATGCGGGCGGATTGAGTATGATTTTCCAAGGCTTTTGATAGGTTCTCTCAGACATGCAGGTGACCTCACGATGTTCTTCTTCACCGTAAGATATCTGCGTCTTCTTCAATTTCTAATAAACTTTTAGATGTTCTGTGACTAGATTGGATTGAAAATGGGGATAAAGGTTTGAGTAAGATTGTCTTCGACTCTGAACTTACTTATCCACAAAACGTGTACGGATTTGTATGTACATCGATATACGAGTAGGTACTTATGTACTATATTTAATGAAAGGTAAGGTAAGGTACTTCCACGGTCGTTAAATACTGAATATTTTCTTTTTAAAGTGAAAGTTCTTTAGAATCGTTGTGATTTGATGATGAAACTCGATGAAACGAAAATGCGACACTAAAAAGAGATAAACACATAAATATATAGGAACAAACCGGCGAGACAATGAGCTAGAATACATTGCCATATTGCCATGGTAACCTTTGTCTTTGTCTGACAGATATATGATATTATATTTTTTCCGTATATGATATTCTATAAATATATGATCGTAATATGTCTAATATGCCTTATTTAATTATTGATATGTTTTAATTTAATTGAGATATTTTCCAAAGAAGTTTTACTTCAACCGCGCGTAAAGGTTACACGGACCCACTTTTTTTTTAATAGATGTTGATATTCTCTGATATTTCTAAATGGCACACGTTGAGAATCATAATATCTAAAGACAGGTGAAAATAAATATATTCGTATTATGTGTCTTTATTGCAATATAACTTAATGATTTTTTTCCCTCAGGCACCTGCACAGCCAGCGTATTATAAAGCTAAAGAGTACAATCCAGAGACAGCTGTCGATCCCCTCGTCAAGCCCATTGGAGCCAGTAAGTCTAACAATGCCTAAGACATATTTTTTGTGTACCTAAGTGTATCTTAATCAAGATATCATGAAATAAAACCTAGATGTCGGTAATAATCTTTGATATAAAGAAAAAAATTGCCGAAGTTCACCTAATTAAAAGAATATCTATAAAAATAAATAAAATTGAAGTGTCTGTTCGTAATGTCAAAATAATAGCTTTCTAAAATATGTTTTTTTCTAAAATATTAGCGTTCCCGACGTTTCGCTTAGTCTCTCCCGTGACCATGATCGCCGTAAGGCGTAAAGCATTCGAAATTCGTCGGGGACCAAAAATCAACCCGGGAAGAATAAATCCGCGAAATAATCCGAAAAGATAGTTTTATTTGAAATATTATTTTCAGATAAATTGCAACTGATCTGTTGGTACGTGGCGTTCCCCGTGCACTGGTCGTGCCGCCACACGATGCCGGACTGCCGCGGCCGCTGGTACCCTGTCACCTTCATCATATCCATGCTGTGGATCTCCTTCTACTCCTACTTCATGGTGTGGATGATCACTATCATTGGTAAGACTTCATTTCTTCATCTCTTTCAATCGTTTTTACCCTTTTCATATTTTTTCTTCGCTTGGTAAGACTTAATTTGTCCGTTTTTTTTTTCAATTTGTATTTGGAATTCTTAAACTTGATATTTGTTAGCCGATGATTTAAACAGGATTTACTTGTGGGGTAAATATTTAAAAAAATTACACTAGGGGCACTCGAGACTAGTGCCCATTGCGCAAAATTCGGAGGGCGGGAAAAAAATTCTTCATATTATCGAAAATCCTTTTTTATTTGCCAAAAAAAAAAAAGATTGACTACTAAGGTAGTAGGTACTAACTATTAGGTACATTTTTCGAAAAATTGATATCATTCATAAAAAATTTTTTGCATTTTTCAAAAAATTAATAATTAAAAAAAAATAACTTTATCGAAACTTTACCCATTTTATGCGAAATAATACATAAATGTGAATTGATACTTTCCAGGTTATACTCTGGGTATACCCGACACGGTGATGGGTCTGACTTTCGTAGCAGCCGGAGTGTCAGTGCCCGACGCACTGTCTTCTCTCGCTGTTATCAAAGAAGGGTAATCTATCTTGACTGTCTTTATATTGATTAACAACTATTATGACTACCGACTGACTATCTATATACCTATATATGTACATATTAATCCACCATTGATATGCCGAGGTAAAATGTATCATAATTATTAAATTACTACCGACTTACTTATTTCTTTTTCTAAAATAAAAGTAGCCTAAGTTACTCCTTGTAACATCAGCTATCTGCCAGTGATATTCCCGTCAAAACCGGTCCAGCCGTTTTGGAGATTAGCCGAAACAAACAGACAGAAAAACATTTTAAATAAAACTATCTTTTCGGATTTTGTCGCGGATTTATTTGCATTTTTGTATCCCGACGTTTCGAATGCTTTACAGCATCCATGCTCACGGGAGAGACTGAGGTGTTACATGTCTTGGAGGTATAGTTGTTACAGACAGCCTACCCACAATTAACAAAATGAAAATTTCGGGAAACAAAAATGCAAATAAATCCGCGACAAAATCCGAAAAGATAGTTTTATTTAAAATGTCAAATATTCGCGTAAATCTAAGAAAGTATTAGACAGAAAAACATTTTTTTTCTTACAAGTACCGCATATACGAGTATGTACTTTCATATGCATTTAGTAAATACTCTTATTAGAAACAGACACTTCAATTTTATTCACTTGTATAGATTACTAGCGACTCAACCTTGCTCCGCTCGGGTTCCTTTTAACGTTTAGATTTCGCAAAGATGAGTTATTTTCCCGCTGTAAAAGATATATGTTGACCGGGATATACCGGGACCAGCTATCATCATATCGAATTTCATCAAAAAAATTCCTGTGATTTTCTCGTGATGCGGTCACAGACAGACAGACAGACAAAAATTCATAAAACTATGGATTCGGCCTCTATCGATAATAATACCTATTTCAATAAGATTTTCCAAAAAATATTTGATGTACAGATTTGACTCAGAATTTTATTATATGTATAGATTATCATCAAACATATACTTGTAAGTAATAGTTCTGCTCTAATTATTAATCTATTTTTGACTAGATATGGTGACATGGCTGTATCTAACGCAGTGGGCTCTAACGTATTCGACATCCTGGTCTGCCTCGGCCTGCCCTGGTTCATTCAGACCGCCATCATACAACCCGGGAGTCACGTCAATGTTATTAGCAAAGGTAATATAAGTGATGTTTTTAAAATCTACATCTACACTAATATTGAAATAAAACTTCTTTACGCACTTACTTGGGGGCAAGCTGGTGAATGCGTTAAGAAAAAAATATACGTGCGTTTGTTGCCATGGTAACCGTTGTTATTGTCTGACAAATGATAATATATAATATTATATTGTTTCCTTAAATGATATTCTATAAATATATGATTGTAATATGCCTATTATGCGTTATTTTTGTATCTCAACTATCATAATTATTTAAAACATAAATTGAATTTCATAAAGAGTACCGATAACCTACAGAAGTTTTATTTCTTGCGCGTGTACACATTCATACACGCACTCTTTATTTTTTTGTATTCAGACCTTTTTCAACGTCCCGCTGCTGGGCGACGAAGGATTCAGCCAATAGTCCACCACGTTGGCCAAAATAATTTCAAAATAAATTCGCGACAAAATCAAAACAGCCAGTTTCATTGAAAATGTTCAGTACTTTGAATTGGGTTTAACTTAAACTTACAGGTCTAGTGTACTCAACACTCTCCTTATTTTCGACGGTGATCTTCCTGGTGGTGGCGACACACGCTAACGGCTGGAAGTTGGACCGCAAGTTCGGAGCAGTGCTGATGGTGTGGTACCTCCTCTTCATCACCCTCGCCAGTCTGTACGAGCTGAACATCTTCGGGAACTTCCATCCTCCAGATTGCGAATCTATGTACTAAATTGCTTTTGTGTGGGAACTTTGCTTCGTTGTTTGGTTTGTTATGTTTGTTTGTTTATATTGTTTATAGATTTTCAGAATACTGTCTGAATCTGTAGGTATACAATGGTAAATTCAAAAAATTGTTAAGTTTCAAAGGTTAGGTGTTTAAGTAGTCTTCAAGGTACCTGTATTATCTAAATATACAAATGTTTAAGTCGAAAGCGAATTCTATGTCTCTACACGGTTTTTTCTCATATTTAAAAAATAAAGTAGAGAAAAAAAGACGATCTACATTCGTATTTCTAATGTCTTATACATTCCTATAATATTCTTATTTAATAATGGATAAGAAAACGAAGCAAAGTTTCTATTATCTTCAAGTTAAAGAGTTCTTATTCACCCGTTAAGTATTTACAACTGTTGAAAGTCTCTTAGATTAGATTTTGAGCGCGTTACTTCGTGAATGTGTTTGTAAAGCTATAGACTTTTCTCTTACACCTAGAGGGCTAGAGTCGACCTATGAATATATTGTTCCATAAACAGCGATACTTTTTATATTATATATTAAGAGTTTTGGCAAGACAGAGAAAAGTTGACGATAAAGAGATAGAAATATGAAAAATATAACGCTATTCTTACTCAAATGGCTTAGATTCAATTTAAAAATAACTAAAACATAATTTTTGATATAACCCGCGCCAAAGAAATAAATCTTAAATGGCGACACCGATCATGCTCTCTCACTTGCACACTATTGCTAATAGAGTGTTGCTGACACCTTATCATCTGTCAAATTGCAAGAACGCAGACGCCATTTTGGATTCGTTTTTTTCATTGGTGCGGCATACATCAAAAAATGGGTATGTATGTTCATATATATTTTAAAATATGATATCAAAATATTTTTTACATAAAATTTAAGAAAATATCTTCTTAACTTTACACGTATGTATCGCTTTCTACAGCATATCGACGGTTAGCCCTTAGGGTTGATATTGGCTTTTCTTACCAGCACTGTGTAGCCCAAGATATAAATATTAAATACTCAATAATATTTTATTATTACATAATTATTTTATTATTTAAGTAAATAAATTATTTACTAACAGGTGTGAACGACAGAATCTTATGAGTAAATGAATCATCGATTGTAGGTTTTTATCTCTTGTACATGTACATTAGGCGTAGATTAATTAATTTCTTTATAAATACTTACTGTATACTATTTTACGTTTGTATATAATCTTATTTCGAGAGTATAAAGTCATTAGTTTCAAAATTAAATTTCGAATCATTATTTTGTATGTAAATATATTTCACGCACAAAGTCATATTTTGATCTCAGCAAATGGTGGAATATTCGTTGTTTTATTGTTTTAAATACATTTTCTAATGTATTTTAAAACTTAATGGCACTGTCGATGCATGTGCAAAAATACAGATAAGACTCTGATATTGCTAAAGCAATAAATAGTAGTGGTATGGAGCAAAAAAGACAGCAATAGCTGTTTGTCTCTTTCCTTACTACTCTTGCCGCTGGAGTCATGCGTGACTTTAGTGAAGGAATTTGAATTGAAAAATGTTTGTTACTGTAACTCAGTGTTGAGATAACTTGGGAATAGTTAATATCTGATACATTTTAAATTCAGATTGAATAATAACAGCAAATTAAGTTATATTATTTGCAGACTTCTTTGATACATGGATGATTAATTATTGGTTATATATATCTACAGATTTTAAATAATTTTTGTATAAGGCTGGGTGTTTACAGCCGTTTTCGTGTTCTAAAGTTTTATAATTTCGATCATTCTAATTATTTTTGATTTTGAAAACCACTTTTGTCAACCTGTCTGTGTCGGTGTGTAAGCGATGCTAAATTGCAATGTGTAAACGTAATTTAAGATTTATAACATAACATTGTTAATCCATCGTGAATGAATTATATGTGCTTACTCTATGAACAAGGTTTATGAATGTTTATATAGTTTTAGTGTATAATTTAAAAGCAAAGCAACGTATGCTAGTCAATATTCTAATAAATATTTTGAAAGTATGTTCTCGTAATAAATATTAGTTGTGTTCACTATTGTAGTGTTGAGGCTGATTGTTCATCGCCCAAAAATTTAAAAAAAAAATAATTTCCATTTTTTCTTCTTTTTCCTTATACTTGCTCTACATTTCGATGGAAGGTCAGCCTCGAAATATGAAATAGATTAAGTAAATACCTACAGAGAATGAACAAAATGACATCGATTTTGACGAATTAAATAAATAGCCACATAGATTAAAAAAATACATTTAAATAGACCGCACGTAGCGTTACAATATTCATACAATTGCTAACTTATAATAGATGAGTAGAGTTTATCAAAATTTCGTCTCTTTAATAATAATAATGTTACATTTGGCATAATTTAAGACTGGATCATGTTTTCCAATTACGTACCTACTATTTGTATTCTACCTCAAATATTAACTTCCTTCATTTTCTCACTTAAATATATTATACGTATAGTTTTTATTTTTATTTTTGTTCTGGAATAAGGACAAAACTGATCTAAAAAAATAGTCCTTTTCTCGTAATAGTATACAATACAACAAATTCAATTAAATTGAAAAAATAATTATTTAAAAACTAAAATGTTAATATTCTTTATTTATTTATTTAGCAAATAAGGACAACTAGCATTTAAAGCATGTTTCTTTAACAAAATGTACCAATGTGCAATATTAATAAACGTTTCTAAAATCCTGTTAATCTTCCATTGTTATAGCTCTACCTCTAGTCCTTTACCACAAGGCATTATACCAGTATAAACGACTAAGCCTGAAAATATTTCTAAAACAAAGTTCTTTTATTATAAAATACTTAATACCACTTCCATTATAGTTTATACAATTTCTTACTTACAATATGAAGACTTACCTGAATATACTTCATAATAATTATTTTTTTAATTAATTTATAACAAATAGGTATGTCAAAAAACAATTTTTTTTATTTTTATTCTATAAAAAAATGTAATTAATAAATAAAATGATACGTAAAATGTACGTTGTGCTTAATGCTTACAGATTTTTCTTTATTTGTTGTTGTATAGTAAAGAGTATTACGTAGTGACAATAATAGATAGCTTTACGTTGGCCATTCTGAGCAATGTAAATTATAATTTATAGGAAAATATTATCAAAATATAATAATTTATTAAAATGTCTTTAGTAAATAGTGGCCTAACGCTCTTTAGCGCAAAACATAAAAAAATTGACATTATTAAAAAAATACTTTAGACTTAATTACTTGGCGGTGTCTAAAATAGTATCTTTGTTAATTTTAAATATTTAATTTTTATTTGACACGAAACAGTGTTGGTTGTTAGTTTATTCATTTAAATAAAAATGTCAGTAAATAAGCAATTATCTCTTTAATAATACCTTTGTCTTGGAATGTCTCTCTCTGTGATCTACGTTATCCCGTAGGACGTAAATAAATATTTTTATAACCTTACGTTGTTGTAATATTTGCGTATAGAATATTAGATGACACGATATGCATTGATGCATCAATTATGAATGTCAATTTAAATTTAAATACTCTAATGTAGGTAATTAGCAAATGTTTAGAAAAATTTCTCGAGTGTTTGCACTATCGTTTGATAAGATTGACACGTATTGTATTGTTTCCTTTCAACTTCAGTGTAAAAGTGTTAATAAAATAATGTTATACATTTCCACTCAAACCCCTAGCTTTTTACGTGTTTGTATATATTAGCGGACCATGTATACATATTTAACGCCGTTATTATACCAAATTTATCATATTAGATGTAATTGTAGAGGTCCAGGCAAGCAATTCGCCACTCGTAATTTATTTATAAATACAAAATCTCGTGTAGTAAAACGGTTATTATAAGCTTCGTCCCAAAGCTTAAAAGCAAGGCTTTAGGTAACGCGTGGGATAAAATATAAATGACTTATTAAAATGACATCACATCAAAACAGCGTTACCGTAATTTTAGGTATCCTAAAATTCGATATTAAACCAGCATTGCTCTCTACATATATTATATTGTATAACGTACAAAAGTTATCAAATAAGCGCCATAACAAGTGTGTTTGTGCTATACATAATTATTGTGAGTGTTGGTCGAATCTCATTCTGGCATTACCTATGAATAAAAAAAACAATGTTTCTTGAAATATATCTTAGTTACTTATTTTGTATTGTTTAAAATTTTTAATAAAGACTAGCAATATTGTCAGTGTGTATCGATTCTTCAGCGCCGGCTTTAGTTATTTCAGCGTCGTAGACGTAGACAAAGTACATATTTAATAATTGAGAATCTTTTAAATTGTTTATTTTCTAACCTTAAAACTCATATGGAGTTACGTCAATGAGCTTGCGTCCTCAAGTACACCCTAAAGCCGGCGCTGTCCTTACTATTATTTATAAATTCAGTTCGGACATCTTTATATAATAATAATAATAATAAATAACATCTTAACTTACTTTTCAATGGTAAATGTTAAAATGTTGATGTTTTGCATGTGTTACAATTAGTGTTAGCTTTAATTTAAAGAGCCCTTCGAGCTGGTGAAAGTATGTGAAACATGTTAATTGCTATAAGTTATATGACAAGATGTTAAATAAAGAATAAAAAATGTATTTTAATGTTTGTTTTTTACCCTCTGATCTTTATATAGTTCGTGGTAAATAAGAGACCTTTTATATAAACGCCTTAAACTTATGTTCGGCTATATATTTTCTTGTAATCGGTTCAAAATTTAAAAAAAAGATCAGTTAACAGGCACAATGAAAACATATAGTTAAATTTAGTGGGCACTTCTTCTTTTTTGAAGTTGGTCAAAAATATCATGTAACGATAGACGATATGTTTTTGACGACACGTTTGGCTGTTTGTAGTGACCCTACTAGCTGTGTCAGGGGTCGCGGGTTCGAGTCCCGCTGGGGGCATTCATTTGTGTGGTAAGCACGAATTATTGTACTCCAGTTATGGGTGTATATTTTTATAATATGTATGTATTTAAACTTATATAATATGTGTAGTGTATCAACTATCTGGTATCCATAACACACGCCTCGTAGCTTACAATGAAAGTATAGTCCATTCGCGTTAAGAAAATAGTAAGTCATCAAGTGCAACGGCAGGTAAAGGTGTATACAAAATGAGAGTAAAAATTCAATTCAAATTCAATATTTCAAAAAATTAAGTTTAATGGATAAAAATCAACTTAATTATTTTTAATCAAAATAAAGTCGTCTTAAAATGATAATGACTTTATTTTGTATTTGAGATAATTACTTATTTATTTAAATTTTTCATTACATTTTTTAAAACACTAATCTAAACACCAACAGCCCAACAAAAACCATGCACGATTTTCCCGTGCACTGCGGATTCATACGTGGTAGTTAATTAAACTTAAACAAATCTTAATGAACATAATTATCTCAAATCAAAAATAGAGTCTTTAATAATAATTGATGTGCCTCCGGAAAACATACAGCATTGTATATGAAGAAGCAGTGTATACTTTGCCATTTATTTACGGTCTGTAGAATATGTCATCTACTTTTCAACTACCCTATACTAAATTTTAAATTGACGGTAGTAGAAAATCCAGCTAGGACACGGCAAAACGTTGTCACTTTGAATATCATAGCGTTGTGTACTTTCGCCGCGTGCGGTCGAAATCCAAAAATATTAGAATAATCCGTTAAATATTTTGAGAAATAATTTTACTAAGTGTTAGCATAACTAATATTACATCAATATCTATCTGTATTTTTGTGTTTGTGCGGGTTCTTATACCGGAAGTGTATCGTAATGAATCGCGCGCCTAGCGAGGTCGATGAAGCCATCGAGGCAAACCGACCTATCGTTTCTAATTCACCGACGATCGAGAGGGAAAGGCAAGAGAGAGAGGACTCTTCCGGTTCCAGCAGTTCGTCAAGCAGCGAACCTGAAGAAGAGGAACCTCCGCGCAAGAAATCAAAACGAGATGCTCAGGTAACGGTCGATCTCCGGATCGACGCGTTATACGAACAGGTCAGTTTCCTTACAAATTTAATTATGCATCAGCAATGTGCGTCATCATCAAATACAAATGTGACCGCGAAAACTACTGACGTGATTGAACAACCTGAACAGAATAATGATGATTTCTTGACCAATCCTTGCTCTATTACACCAAAATCATTAGATTTAGGTTTTTGTAAAACTGATTTTGATGAGAAAAAAGTTCTTAAACCAGCCGATGAACAACGTTTAAACCAGTTGATAAAATTGCAACATTTTAATTCATCTACGTGGCAACACATTCGGTATAAAAAAGCATTGGCAGACATGCTTGCGTTCCCAGGCTTTTGTAACTTAAAAATTAATGACGAAATATGTTGTTTAAATAAAGGCAAAGATTTCCTGGCCTCAACGGAGGAAATTATGGCTGCAATTACCAATGCTTTACTATACCAAAGGCAATTGCTACAATCAGGTTTACAGGAAATTGTTAATTGGTCTCACAATAATCCTACGGAACTAACCTCTAATAACCTTTTTAATAAAATAAGCGAAATGTTCGGTAATTCGTCGCCATCTTATAAATTATCTGAACAAACATTACAAATCGTCTGCGGGAAACGAGCGGAGTGTATAGAAACTAGGCGTAAAAGATTAATTAGCGAAATTTCTGATAAAAGTATTCAAGCCGCTCTCGTTAACATACCTCCCAGCGAGGAATTTCTATTCGAGAAGGCACAATTGATGTCGCTGGTGCAATCCCTCGGCGGGCCTCATTATTGGTTATCACCCCCACAAATCTCTAAAAATAGGGACCAAGTAAAAAGGAAATACCATGAATCCATACCATCAACACCCAAATCTAGGCCACAAGGACAAGATAAAAATTATTTTCAAAATACCTACAAAAAATCAAACACTAAAAAAACGTACAAAGGAAAGACTGATGCTTACAAACAACAAGGAAACCCGTCCTTTCGAAGCAAAAACAAGAAAATATGACTATCTAATACCATTCAGGGGCGGTCGTCTAAAGACGTTCAAAAACCGTTGGCAGGCACTTGGCGCGAACAAATTTATAATATCGGCAATAACTGGTTTTCGAATACCGTTTTACAAGAAACCTCCTCTAATAATGCCAACAAGGCTTGTTATGAGTCGGTTTGCAACCAAACCGTCGCCGGCCATGACTCAAATAATGCAAGACCTCTTGGATCAAAAAATACTGCAGCCTGTTACAAAAGAAACGCCCAGTTTTATCTCCAAGCTATTTCTGCGGAAGAAAAGCGACGGATCGATGCGACCTATTTTCGATCTACGAGAATTAAACAAATTCGTAAAGATAAAGCATTTTCGCCTTATTTCTCACAGTTCAGTGCCAGATTTTCTCCAACCGGGAGACTGGATGATAAAATTAGACATTTCTCAGGCATACTTTCATGTAGCTGCAGCAAAATCTCACTGCCCATTCCTTCGAATCAGTTACCTAGGTCAGCTGTACGAGATGACCTGTCTACCTTTTGGCCTGGCATCAGCGCCACATCTCTTTTCGTCCATAACATGCTGGGTCGCGGAGACCCTGCGTGCCAAGGGATGTCGTGTACTAGTCTACCTAGACGACTACCTTCTGGTCAACCAAGACCAATCCAAGTTATGTCTTCAGGCCTCGGCGGCCGTGAGGCACTTGGAATATCTGGGCTGGAGCCTCAATTACCAAAAATCGATCTTGACTCCGACTCAAGACCTAGAATATCTTGGTATCCGCTGGCAAACCGCCAGGAACAGAATGTCATTACCAGAAAAGAGGATACAGAATCTCAAAGCAACCATAGATCGTTCGTTACTAAGAGGCCATATCACGCTTCGCGAACTACAGAGCCTACTGGGACAGCTAAATTTCGCCAGCTTTGTCATACCCCGAGGCAGGTTACATTGTCGGAAAGCACAAATCTTTCTTCGGCATTTCAACAAGAGGCAACCACGACAGAGACAACTTATTCCCGAAACGGTATATCAAGAGATGAGGTGGTGGCTCGGCGCCACACGTCACTCTTCGCTAATACACAAAAAGCCGGTTACTCATTTCCTAGTGACGGACGCTTCGGATCTGGGTTGGGGTGCTCATCTAAATGGGCATCTAATGTTGGGGACGTGGTCTCGTCAGCAACAAAAATGGCACAGCAACAAAAAAGAGCTTTATGCAGTAATGGCAGCGATCAGAACAAACGCTGCAGCGTTAAGCAAATCCCATGTACTCATCCAATCGGACAATCGAACTTTAATTGCGTATATTCGAAAAGAGGGCGGAACGAGATCGTTGACACTACTAAGTTTGACTTACAAACTACTGACCCTAACAGACAAGTTCAAGATAACTCTTTCGGCACATTATCTACCAGGGAGGTACAACACAATTGCAGACAGATTGTCACGAGGGAAAGAGGTTGCGGAATGGCATCTCTTACCACAAGCAACTGGAGAAGTCTTCCGGAAATGGGGTCGACCGGAAATAGATCTCTTTGCTTCACAACGAAGTGCTGTAGTAAAAAACTACGTATCAATAGATTGCAGAGATCGATCAGCAAGTTATATAGACGCCTTCAGCAGACCTTGGCAATACCAACTAGCATGGGTATTCCCTCCACCGAGCCTATTACCCAGAGTCTTGGCACACCTAAACAACGCGACAGGGACTTATTTAATAGTGGCACCGGAGTGGCCTCAAGTCTTCTGGCTTCAAGATCTGAAGTCCAGAGCATTGGATCACCCACACGAAATTCCGAATCTATCGAAAACAATGATCGACATGACAACGTCACAGCCACCTCCACAAGTAGATCTATTAACCTTGAAAGTTTGGAAAATTGGGGGTGGGGTTCCCAAATAAAAGAGTGGTCTACACAAGAGAAGGAGCTGCTAAGAAATAGCTGGCGAAAGTCTACTCTCGCAACATATCTACCTGCCATTAAAAGATGGTTGAAGTGGTGTAACAGTACTCAAGTAAATCCAAAATCACCTAATCCTGCTGACATTGCTAAATTCTTAATCTATCTTTTCCTTAACGAAAACTTATCTTATAGCACTATTTTGGTACACAAGTCGGCTGTATTAACTTTCTGTGGGCCTTATGTAGAACAACAAACATTTACAAACTTCATTATAAAACATGCCCTTAAGGCAATCGGGGTAGCTAAACCAAAATCAGTTAGGTCATTTGTTAGTTGGGACCCAAATGTAGTTTCTGGAATGGCTTTCAGCTAATTCACCTAAAGATACGCTCTTTGAAATATCGCGTAGAACAGCAACAGTGTTATTGCTAGCTTCTGGACGTAGAGTCCACGATCTTACCTTGTTGCGAATTTCCAAAGACAACTATCTTGATAATGGACAAAACATCTATTTAATACCGGCATTTGGTTCAAAGACTGACAGACATGACTGCCGCCAATCTGCTTGGAAGCTGTCTAAACATCCTGATAAGAAACATCTGCCCAGTTAGTTTAGTTAGATGTTTAATAGAGAAAACCAAACAAAGAAGGTCGGATGTTAAAGACTTAGACAACCTCTTCATTACAATTAGTAATAAAGTAAAATTTGCTTCCCGTACTGTAATAGGCAACTGGGTGCGCACAGTTCTTAAAGACAGTGGCATTGATGCTTCCCCAGGGAGTTGTAGGTCAGCTGTAGCTTCACTGGGGTGGTTAGATAATCAACCCTTAGATGATATATTAGCACGGGGTAACTGGAAATCTTCCACTACATTTTTTAATCATTACTGTAAAGTAATTAAAGTATCTAAAAATGACCATAATTCCTTTTTCAATACATTCACGTCATTATAAATTTATGATTTAAATTAGTTAATAATAAATAATTAAGAGATTTGCAATAAAAAAAGTGTAACAATTATATACAAGTTAATATTGTTAAACAATAAATAAATAAATATTATAATTATATATAATTTACTTTCATATTAAACTTTTATTATTCTCATTTTACTATTCATCATAGCGTTGTGTTTATATACCTACAATGTACATATTTCACCAGCAGATAACAAACACGTCTTCATATACAATGCTGTATGTTTTCCGGAGGCACATCAATATAACGGTTTTACATAATAATAAAACCGATATTATGTGCCGAGAGGGAAAACATACAGCATTGCAGGAAGTCCTTCCTGGTGAAGACTATGATATTCAAAGTGACAACGTTTTGCCGTGTCCTAGCTGGATTTTCTACTACCGTCAATTTAAAATTTAGTATAGGGTAGTTGAAAAGTAGATGACATATTCTACAGACCGTAAATAAATGGCAAAGTATACACTGCTTCTTCATATACAATGCTGTATGTTTTCCCTCTCGGCACATAATATCGGTTTTATTATTATGTAAAACCGTTATATTATTTACGTCTGTCTTCAACTGGTCATTGTGAAATATGACTTTAAAATTTAATGCAATTTAATTGGTCGGGGGGCGTGGCTAGAGCGGTGGACATCGATGACTCACTGTTTTCTTAACGCGAATGAACTATATATGGTGATGTGTAACATATTTATTTATTTATAGATGGCGTTGATTCACAAGCTGTCAAACTATTTTATTTTATAAGTATGTTTATAATAAAATAATTAATTCAAGATTTAAGATAATACGACATTTTATTTTACATTTGATTAAACTTTGTGATAAATAACAATAAATATAATAAAACTAGCGGCTCACCCTCGCTTCGCTCGGGTTCGTCGCTAGGTACGTTTTAAATAGATATAAAAAGAAAAAATCTTTCTTTCTCACATTTTAATTATATGTTTTAATACTTACCTATTCCGGACTAAGAGAAATCCAAAAATTAAAATATCATAAAAATTGGAACGCGGTCGAACGGGATAAAAAGTATCCTATGTCCTTCTCCTGGCTCTAAACTACCTCCCTGCCAATTTTCAGCTAAATCGGTTCAGCCGTTCTTGAGTTATAAGCGAAGTAACTAACACGACTTTCTTTTATATATATAGATAATGTACTTACAAGTGAAAATAAAGTAAATAAATGTGCTGCTTTCGCTGCTACAGTTTTTACACCATTTAACAGTACATTTAGTAATTTCTGGGTGATGTTTTGTTGACAAGTGCTTGAGACTGAAGCAAAAACAAACGACCAAGGCTAAAATCTTCTGGTTACTGAAAAGACCGGTAAAGGTACGTCCGCTTATATATCGGTTCCAGTGGCTAATTCGTTCATGGAGAAATCCTATAATTATAAACAAATTTATAATTATACTAGCATTGCCCGCGGCTCCGCCCGCGTTCATATGACTCAAAACCAAATTCTTAGGTTTTACATATTAGTATACTCTTACAATGCAGTTTTTGTATTTTTTCTCAGAAATGAGATATTTTCATAACCAACCATATCATTTTGATAACCAGCTATCATCATACCAAATTTCATCAAAATCTGTCCAGTGGTTTTCTCGTGATGCGGTAACAGACAGACAAAATTTCTAAAAACTATAGATTCGGACTCTGTATCGATAATAATGTCTATTTCAATTAGATTTTCCAAAAAATATTTAATGTACAGATTCGACTTAGTTACAATTTTACTATATGTATAGATTTACAAAAAAAAGATATAATGTTAGTTCGGAAGTTCTTTTCAGGACTGAGGCTTTAAGTAAAAAGTGCTAGATAAAAAAATACGTGAATTTTTAACAGACTTTACCGACATCAAGTGAGAGGGGGCAGTAATCTATACATATAATGAAATTGTAACTAATCCGAATCTGTACATTAAATATTTTTTGGATAATCTTATTGAAATAAACATTATTATCGATACAGAGGCCGAATCTATAGTTTTGAGAATTTTTGTCTGCCTGTCTGTTACCGCATCACAGAAAGAAAAACCACTGGAGGGATTTTGATGAAATTTGGTATGGTGATAGTTGGTTATCCGGGTCAACATATAGGATACTTTTTACTGCGAGA